TCCTTCCTTCCTTCCTTCCTTCCTTCCTTCCTTCCTTCCTTCTTCTTCTTCTTCTTCTTCTTCTTCTTCTTCTTCTTCTTCTCCTCTTCTTCTTCTTCTTCTTCTTCTTCTTCTTCTTCTTCTTCTTCTTCTTCTTCTTCTTCTTCTTCTTCTTCTTCTTCTTCTTCTTCTTCTTCTTCTTCTTCTTCTCCTTCTTCTTTTTCTTCTTCTTCTTCTCATCCTTCCTGTATCGAAGTGGTGGGGGAGGGGGATAAAGATCTTTGTGTTTTTTGCAATTCACTGGACAAATAGTTGGTCTGCATTTCCACTTCTTGAGGCCATCGCTGCTTATCCTGCATGGTTTTACCCTTGCTTTGGCCATCGTATTTCAAATTTCTTTTATGTGGCTCTCTGTGGCCACTGGTCCCCGGCCATTCTCGTCAGATGGCCATATTGTCTCATCTGTTGCTGCTTAAGAAACTGCATGACTGTTTTCAATCTTAGTGTTCTTGTGTTCATTTTTTGAAATGATTTTTTTTATGTTATCTGTTCTTGTTACTTCAGCCGCTCTTCTAAGATATCTCATTGTTATCGTTTTGCGTTGATTACTTTTAATGAGAGCTGTTTGACACTGGCAGCATAAAGTTAGCCCAACGGCTGTTTATTAAATTTGTCTTAGTAGATTATTTCACCAGGCCACCCTGGTGTATTGGGAAATGAACAGACGGACAGACTGGCTGGCTCTGCACAACATGGTGGAATACTGCTACATGATAGGGCAGACGTGGTTAGTGCCTTGTGGGAGAGCGTGTACAATTCGGAGGAGCAGATGGATCACCACAGTCTGGTGAGATTGATGTAGTTGGGGGTAACGAGAGGTTCTGGCAGATGCTCGAGGCTCAGAGGAAAGGCAAGACTGACGTTTAATCAGAAAGCTACTGGCACAATTACTATCGGAACTCTTTGCTGGCTGCTGAAGATGGGGACGGAGCGCTTATGGGAATGCCCCGAGTGCTGTGATGTCGGTTCTTGAATCAAATCAAATCAATCAAATCAGTAGACAAAATAGGTGTTAGTTTTCCCGGTACCTGGTTTGTTTCAGCACAACGAAGTTGATTTCTTCATCCTTACTCCCTTCTGATTTGATTATTGACTCTATGTATTTAAATTAAATAATTTGTTTTTGACTGTATATCATTTGCTTTTATCGATATGGGTTCTAACTGTTTACCTATCGCCAGTGTCTCTGTCTTTTCTAAAGATTATTTTCATTTTATATTTATATCGCTTGGTATTGACTCGATTGAAATATTAAGATTTTGTTTTCACAAAGTTTTTACATGTGTATAAACTCTTACAGACTTCAGTTAGTTTGCCATTTAAATTTTATTTTATACACCCACACTATATCCATATCTACTACTCCATCAAAGCCTTTTTATGGTCAATAAATGCGACTTTGCAGGATGTAAACATAGCATCTGTGCAGCGTCTGTTTCTTTTTAATTCAATCCTACCTGGCTTTTTGTTGTCGTTAATCCACTAATCATCATATGAAGATCAATACTGAAAAGACAGAAGTCATGAGCATAAGTAGAGAGCAACAGACCATCGACATACAGATTCTAGATCACAGCCTAAAACAAGTGCAAGAATTTAAATACTTGGGAAGTATCTTTACATTCAATGGTAAAATAGACAGAGAGATCGAAGCAAGAATCCAAAAAGCCAACAATGTCGCATACCAGCTCGCCCCAATTTAAAAACACCCTGCTGTCCCAGCTGAGATA